TTATTAGTCTCAAAGTGGGTTCCTCGTCATCGAATCAGCCAAGTAGTTTAAGTTAGTAGCTATTTTAATTTTACATTATTACCACAAATGAAGGATGAAATGAGTGAGGATGTCAGTAACAAAATATGATGAACTGATGCCAAATGTTTAATCTGTAAGTACCTTTACACTGGACAAATGGTTTCATTCTGAGGCTACAAGTTACAGGAGAGATGGCACATATCCTAATTTATAGCTTTACTTTTAAAACCCAGAATAGCTGAAAATCAATGCTACTTAATTATAATCCTAGGTGAACAAAGTTGGTCACTTTGACCACTATTGAAAATAGGAAATTATATATATACTATAACTATGAATTTACTATGAGAATCTTCATGAAATATGGCAAACATTTAATAAGCATTATGAGTCTGTTATATACAAAAAAGTAAAAAATTTTAATAAAGTATTTCTACTAAAAATTTGGCTATAAATTTCTAAATCCTTTACTGAGTACGTTTTCATCTTAGCTTTCATATTTCATGTAGATAACCTCCTAAATGAATATCAAAAGATTGTTTTGGTCAAATACTTTAGTTTATCTCTCATTTTTTCCACCCTAACACTGACTGTACGGAATCATTAATGTACAGTGAAATTAAAAGTTGAAAAATATATAAAAAATAAAATCGGACAGTTTTTTTTCCCCTGCACTGAAGTCATTTACTTATCTTAATTTTTTTTCAACTGTTAACCATTTTTCACATTTGTTTTCTTTTTTTTAGTTTTATTGCTGTACCTTGTTTCCACTAGAACAGTAATCCCTGTAACAAAAGCTACAATTTCTAGCAGGAGCCTATTGTCCGTTTCTCTTAGAGTTAACATAAACAGACAATCCACGGTTGTTTGAAATAGTGAAATTTTGGATGTTCTATTTTACTGAAGTTTGTATGCTAGACTGAGAAGTTTATAATTATTACATTTTAGTTACTTTTTCTTAAAAGATATACACACAAAAAACAAGGATTTGTAGCATTCACTGTGTATTTTAGCCAAGTAAAAATATGGGTGTCAAAAAAATATTCGTGTAGCTTTCTAATATGCTCTGGTTAAACACAAAAAAAAATTATATCAGTCACTTTATAACAGAACGTCCCAAAACTACTCTGGCTTTTTAAGTAAGCTATAAATAGATTAAAAAATTATGTTAGTGTTCAAAGTACCAAACCTGATCAACCCAATCTAAGCAATACTCCTCAACTAATAACTTATGACAGCAAAATTAAATGCAGAATTAACATTTTTATGTACAGGAGAAACTACTCTTTCTATTGGTTATAAACATGGCCATTAGCCATTTAAATTTGATCAGTAAACAATCCCAAAAGTCAGAAAGAAATAGGAGAGAGTTCTATGGTGAGTTTGACAAATTTATTGTTATCTTGACAAATCAAAAATGTAGAAGGATCATATTTGAGATTCTTGCTTGTAATTATGTATGGTTTACATTTCTAATTGGTTGGAAATTGAATCAGTCACTTTTAGAAGTTAGGAAATTCCGATGTAGAGAAATTGGAACTCAGATGTTACAACAGAAAATTGAGGTTTGTTTAATATCTAATTTTTAAATTAATAAGTTAAAACTTTGAATTAAGAGTTATATTTGACCAAGTTTAATAAAATACATTGATCATAAAGTTGTTTAATTTAATTTTGAATGTAAAACTGTAAAAGGTAATGAATGGTGTGCACAAGTCTACCTAGTCATATAAAAATTGATAAATGACACCCGATACATTATATTGTAGTTACGACAAAAACAATGCATTAGCATCAATAAAATGCCCATGACTACCAAATGATGGAGCACAAAGACTATGAATACAAACAACATATACTCATATGAAAAGAAAAAATTGGGAACTTTATTGCTGGTGAAGTATGTCTGGGTGTTCAATTTTTATAAATAACCCTAATATGACTGGCTGGTGAACATGCTGAGTGTACATCTGTATATATTTTGAACCTTAAGTAAAAATCATATCTGTAGTTCAACATTTTATATTAAATATATTTTACAACTGATTTTGTGTTACGTTTGTCTAGTGTAATTTGTAAAGAAAACTAAAAAAAAGTTCCAGCTCCGAGGAGTTTTCCTTGTCAACATATACAAGTTGTTGTTTAATATTTTTCTGTCCATCACAAGCTATAGGGCTATATTTGCTAAGAAACTATTTCTTGAGCATATAATTAACATTTTGTGTTTCTCACAAGATTTTCCTTCTCTGTTAGTGGTTTTATAACCACAGTCTTATGCCACAGCATGTAGTGTGAATAAGTACTAACAAAGCTCCCTTCATTACCACACTGCTGTCACAGCACATAATCTGAATAAGTACCAATGAAGCTCTCTTCAATGCCACACTGATGTCACAGCACATAATCTGAATAAATACTAATAAAGCTCCCTTCATTACCACACTGATGTCACAGCACATAATCTGAATAAGTACTAACGAAGCTCCCTTCACTGCCACACTGATGTCACAGCACATAATCTGAATAAATACTAATGAAGCTCCCTTCACTATTACACTGATGTCACAGCACAGAATCTGAATAAGTACTAACGAAGCTCCCTTCATTACCACACTGATGTCACAGCACATAATCTGAATAAATACTAATGAAGCTCCCTTCACTGCCACACTGATGTCACAGCACATAATCTGAATAAGTACTAACAAAGCTCCCTTCATTACCACACTGATGTCACAGCACATAATCTGAATAAATACTAATGAAGCTCCCTTCACTGCTACACTGATGTCACAGCACATAATCTGAGTAAGTACTAAAGAAGCTCCCTTCACTGCTACACTGATGTCACAGCACATAATCTGAATAAGTACTAATGAAGCTCCTTTCATTACCACACTGAAGTCACAGCACATAATCTAAATAAGTACTAATGAAGCTCCTTTCATTACCACACTGATGTCACAGCACATAAACTAAATAAGTACTAATGAAGATCTCTTCATTGCCACACCTATGTCACAGCACATAAACTAAATAAGTACTAATGAAGATCTCTTCATTGCCACACCTATGTCACAGCACATAAACTGAATAAGTACTAAGATCTCTTCATTGCCACACATATGTCACCTATAATCTGAATAACTACTAACAGGGCTTAGTTTTGAAAATGGCTATAGGCAACATTTAAATACAATTAACTAAAGCATTTTATAATCTGTTTAAATCAATGTGGAGTAAATAAAGTGGTTTGAGCAGTAATTTAAGGTTTCTCAAGCTAATGACTAGTCAGATTTCTTGCAGGGTTGGCCAAAGGAATCTAACTGGAAGCTTATACAGACCTGACGAAGGAATCTAACTGGAAGCTTATACAGACCTGACGAAGGAATCTAACTGGAAGCTTATACAGAGCTGATAAAGAAATCTAACTGGAAGCTTATACAGACCTGATAAAGAAATCTAACTGGAAGCTTATACAGACGTGACGAAGGAATCTAACTGGAAGCTTATACAGACGTGACGAAGGAATCTAACTGGAAGCTTATACAGACCTGACGAAGGAATCTAACTGGAAGCTTATACAGACGTGACGAAGGAATCTAACTGGAAGCTTATACAGACCTGACAAAGGAATCTAACTGGAAGCTTATACACACCCGATGAAGGAATCTAACTGGAAGCTTATAAAGACCTGATGAAGGAATCTAACTGGAAGCTTATACACACCCGATGAAGGAATCTAACTGGAAGCTTATACAGACCCGACAAAGGAATCTAACTGAAAGCTTATACAGACCTGAGAATAGTTTTACAGTTTACATTTTAAAAAATGTTTTCTTGTTAAATTATACCTGTTTGGAGCTAAGGAAATTTTCTTCTATGAATAAGGTATCTTAGGTTTAGCAAGAATGGTAGGTAACAGCAAAATATTGTAATGACTTAAATCCTTATTTATTGAATATTATTGTTTAACTTATCATGTTAAAACAATGCACATAAATAAAATAACTATATTTACTAAAAACTATACTTATTAGATATAATTGATCTTGACATTTGTTTGCAATCAATCACAAACCTACACAATGGGCTATCAGTGCTGTGTCCACTAAAAGTATCATAACCTAGTTTTTAGTGTTATAAGCCTTTAGACTTACTGTTATGCCACTGAGGGGCATTTTGATCTTGATCCAAGAATATTGCGAGTAAAAAGCATAATAACTAGCTTGACAATGGTAATGGTAATGACATTTAGAAATGTCAGACCCCATGTCACCAATAAATGTTTCAGTTTTTGCAAGGTTTCTTTATTTTGATTTATAACCAGAAGACTACTGCAATCACCAAAATTATGTGCCAAAAGAAATAATATCAAACAAGCTGAAAGTGACAAGATTATAAAATGGAACTTTTTGATTTACAATTAAGAAGCTAATACAAAGGGAGTATTTTAAATGTTTCTTAAAACAGTATCTTAAATTAAAATTTCAAAACCTAAAAAAATTATAAAAATATTAAATCAAATTATATGCATTTTTTTTATCTGAAAGTAGAAACTAATTTGTATTTTTTTTCTTTTAAGTAACATGCAATTTGTTTAAATATTTCCAATATGAGAGAAAAAAATAAAGTGATATCATTGACACCCCTCTTGTTTAGAAAGGCTTAAACAGATATCACTGGCAGAAGATATGCTGGTTATTATATTAGACCACAAACGTAGTACTTACAGATAAACAATGAAAGAAATGACAACTATAAAAATTATAAAAACTTATTCAGAAACTCAGAGGAGAAACAACATGAAAAATATCTACAGTAATTAAACTAATTGGAGAGAAAAAAAAAAGAGAGACGACAGTGACAAAGGAGCTATTTAAACTTCATACTAACCGTGACAATAAGGTAGACTATACACAAGTACCCAGAAATAACAATAGCTAGGAAGATATCGAATACAGCAGGTTTCACACTGGAAGAAAAAAAAATACATTAAAACTAGTATACAATAATGAACATGGTCTCAAAAAAAACTTTTCTTTCCATACATTTGTTATGAACATTATAAACCATCAATTTACAACATGTTAATCCTTGTTGTTGATAGCCTATGAAAATTCATTTTCAATAACAACTTAAACTTGTATCTGCTTTTATAAAATATATTTTCAAATGAAAATGACTGTCATAATTTAGTTCCTAGTTAAACTGGTGATTAACAAAAAAAAATGTGCCTTTCTGTGAACGACACTAAAACTGTCATACCTGCCACTTTTGATTCTAGTCTTTCTAGAGTACTTTACAGCCCTGATTCTCAAGAATGGTTTAAGTACCTATCCAAACATACACTGTCAACTTAACTCACTCATTTCTGTAAGCCTTCCAAATACAATTAATTGTATATACAGCTAAACATTTTCTACGGCTCTTTCATGTACAGTTGAAAAACAGTTCAATGATGATGCTTCAAATGATTTCGTGAGTTACAAACCTGATTAAACTCAGCTTTTCCTTTATCTTAAAATTCACAACTATACGAAGAGCCTGATGTAGCACTGTTTAATTTGGTGGACAGTTCTCATTGCTCTTTGGGATTATTATGAAAACTAAGCACACATATGTGCACAAAAGTTACTCTGTTATAACTTTTAACCAGTATTTCAAGCAGATATACTTTAGAGAAAGTATGTTTTATATAATTGAGGTTTATTTTTTTTTACACTCATAGTGACAATGAAGAAAAAATTAAATTTACCATTTTCATTCTATGTATCAAAAAAAAAGAGAGATAGATAAAGAAGAAAAATTCTTTATTTTCACAGCCAGAAATTGAACATCCTATGACAGGAAGACTAAAAAATAATTTGCCAATCACTAAGATACAGAATTAGTACTCTGCATGCAATACAATTTTTTAATGGAATAAAAATTCAAAAGAACAGTATCATACAGTTTTATTACAATGCCCATATCCACTGACTTTGTTTCTTCTATGGTCAATTTCTCAAATTTAAGTATTTGGATCTTAAAATACATAAAATTTAATACAATTCATGGTCAAATTCATATTCCTCTTCTTTATTCAAAATCACTAGTTTTAATGGATAAAACAATTCATTTAATTTTTTTGGGCTTTCATTCTGCAACCATAAAGATAAACATTTTAAAATACAAAATATTAGGAGGGACTATTTCTTATAAATTTAACTCCATAAGAAAATACAAAACGTTAAAGCAAAAGATAACATTATTACATTGATGACTCATTTGTCAGATGCCAATGTTGAGTTGTGTTTGCAATACATATTCTGACTTCAATTAATTTCCCTGACCTTTCATATCACTTTCTTTTAAAGAAATTAATTATCTTAATTACAATAAACATATCAAATTAAAACTGTATTTGATAAGCAGTTGGAGTTTTATGAAAACCAGGTGTCAAAGGTACTTCTGCACTATGTTATGTAAAAAGACAAAATTGTTTTTTACAGGCTTAATATTTCGTATATGAAAGTAACCTGTGAACAAAACTACTAACAAGTAATTTGAAAAAAAAAAAAAACAAAACGCATAGTCGATTAAATGTAAATTCTACAAATGCATCATATACACACATATATATATATATATATATATATATATA